TTCGATGGACAAAGCGGCCCAATTATTGAAAATGGGGGCCAAGACAAAATATAACGAGACATACTTGCATTTTACAACATTTTGAGGTACGACAAAAATTGCTCTATGGCACAACCGTTTGCTGATACAGCCCTAAGTGAAGGCAATGATTTTTTTAATTCTTCAATTAATTGGAATTATCATACTTGCCAGACACTGGCCGCACGAGGACCGACCAAAGTGAAGACTGATTTTTGGCTGGTTGCTAGACACCTTTTCTCATAGCTCGAAATCAATATATCAAATAATGGAGTTTTGTTGATAAAATAGTCCCTAAGTGAGAATTGCATTTCTGACTCTTGCTGGGACAGGTGGCTTGATAACTAAAGCTCAATCGTAGTTACAGTTACTCAATCAAGGAACAAATTACCGTTGTCTCGACCCTAAGTGAAGACTGCTACATTGGTGGGACTACTGTGTAATTCGAACAAAAGCATGGCTCGAGTGTCAAGGCTTTGGACTGCTCCCATATGTATCCCCAAGGTTTCGGTTCGAATTTCAACCATGCCCCTATGGTTTCCCAAAGATTCGTTCAACGTCACAAATGTTTGATGAAGTCAAAATTTTGTATTACGCTTGCGAAACAACGTTGATGGACCCTATCGCTAACTAATTAATCCAAAAATATCACGGATGAACTTTATTTTAATGCATATTTCATTTGAAATTTATCTCGAGAAATAGTGTTATATTTAGGCATTAAAGATAGGGGGTGTGACAGGCAGCACAAATCCCATACCACTACCAGTCGCTAAGGACCTCGGAAGCGGGTGCGGCGGGKGACAGACGTTGTGTGTGTGTGTGTGTGGAAGGTGATTCCCGCCCCTGTTGTCCGCACACCGTTTCAAATTTTCATTTTCGGTAGTGATAAGAAAACTGATTTCGTCTTAGCAGTTAGATACATTACGGGAAACAAAAGAAAAAGTAGGAAAAAAAGAAATAACGCTTTGGCTATGATGGCAGTGAGATACATTTAGGAAGTACGAGTGTGAGTATGCCCTCAGTGAGGGCGTTTCCGCAAAACATGGAATACGCCCTGCCTGGCGTGGGGGTGGCTCCGTTTCAATTTTTCGTTTTTGGTACTTATACCAAAACTGATTTTGTCGCGCCAGTCAGATACATTTTCGAAAACCAAAGAAGTCGAAAACAAAGAAACAACGCTTTGGCTGTGATAGCGATGAGATACAATTTAGGAAGTGCTAGTGCAAGTACGCCCTTAGTGAGGGCATTTCCGCAGAATGTGGAATACGCCCTGCCTCACCGTCAGTGTTCAAAGAAAAAGAGAAAACAAAACAAAAAGAAAAAAACGGCAAAGATTTCACCGTAATAGGTTCCCCCCCTGCCCCTTAGTTTAACCCCACGATCACTCTCTCCAATACCCTGAATTTGCCGACCCTGAATTTGCCAGTGTGCTGAGTTTTGCCAAACCTGGCCTCGTCATGGAACCTTCCCAGCTATTTTTTCAAAGGCGCGTTGGGGAACACGCTGTCCTGAAACGGAAGGCTGGCCGCCGATAACTCGAATTGGCGGCCAGTCTTGATTTTTGGGCAGGCCCGCAATGCCCGAAGGCCCTATCGCAGGCCGTGGATCCTAATGTCTACCCTAGTGACATAACTGTCCCTCCTGCCCCACACCCACCAACTATGCCTTCCTACTGTGGATGTTTGGAGTGAGTGTTCAGGTCCTTGCTGTTCCTAATGGCTAACCTAGCTAAGCTCTCTACATTTTGATGCCTACGTACCAGATCCTACGGCCCTAGTCCGGGCTCCTGTGTTCTGGTCCTTGGACCAGTGGAACCTTCTTACATGGGAGCCGGGGCCCAGCGTCCCTTACATGATACGCTGCAGCGAGTCGAGATCGGCCAGGCTCTCCCGCCTGGGATAAACTGGTTTATTCCAGGCTGGTCAGACACATTTTGGAAAGTACTACCGGTAGTATAAGTCAGAGTGAGGGCATTCCCCAACATCATTGATCTTTGTTCGCAGCCAGGATGACTGCGTATAGATAGATGTCTTTTGTCGTTTGGCGGGCGGTTTCCGTATGGGGAATGTCGTCGACCGGGTAAACGGGTTTAGAGGGCGTCATAGCATGAGAAATAGGGTTGTCGTCGCCAACCGGGCACCGACCGGTATTCTTGTGAGGGAACGTGGCGGCGGTCGTGGGAAATGGTGGTGCACGTCTGGTCGTTCGGCTCTTTCTAGTATGGGAAAGGTTTTCATGATTATCTGGCCGTTCGTTCTCCACGGAGATCGACGGGACCAGTTTTTCTTTTCGTCTGGCAAAATATGGCAATGTTTCTGTCCTCATTCTAGGGAAGTGTTCAGTACCCTTTTGCCCCTTTTTTTTGCCTTTTTTTTGGGCCTTCCTCAAAGATTTTTCTGTTGCCCTCTCTCCAGCTCGCCTCGATTTCCGTTTTCGCCTTTTCTAATTCTAATGCAAATGTGGAAACAGCGAATGTATCTTGCTGGAGAAGTGGCAAAATACATTCCCCATTTTCACAAGTCCCGGGGAAGGAAGACCGTCGACCGAACAAAAAGCGGCAAATGGACTGCAGGCTGACACCACAGACCCTGAATTCCTTTATTACCCCCTCCTCCCCGGGTCCCTGCTATGCCCGTGATTTTCCCTGCGTGTCTCTCCAGCCAGTTCTGTGCGATCGCCGGTCCGCCGCCGTCCTGGCTGCGCCCCCACGCCCCGCGTGGTAGCAGTGTAGTTTGCTCTTTTTTTTTTTCCCGTCCGACGAGCGGGCCCATAGGGCCCCAATATTTTATCTTTCGAGCACGCCCACACAGGGCAGCCAGTATTTTCTCTTTTTCTTTTTCCTGTATTCGGAGGCCGACCCTCCGCGGCCCCCCGGATAATTATTCCCACTGGACTATGGCTTGTACAGGTTGTATTCCCACTTGGGACTGGAAAATAATATGAAGTAACCATACAGAGAAGATGACCATGGCCCTTGCGCAACGATAACACACGTAAATTGAAAAATGGCCCCTGAGTCTATTGGCCAACGTGTTAGCGCCGCCCCAAGTAAGGGCATATGCCACCGCCGTGAGATTCATCCACGTGCCCATCTACGTGTGAGGAGCAGATTCTCACTTTACAACTTGCGGAACGAACGTAGCCGTATTCCCTTTAACTGTGCTAACAATGTCAGGAAATGTGCACGATCTTACTTTGCCCTAAGTTTGTGAGAGATGACGACAGCTGTCCCCAAGTCGGTCCCACGTGCCAACTCGCAAGCAAACTTTTTTTTTTTTTTTTCTTCTGGGAACTCGCCCGCAAAAACAGTCGGTCCAGTCCTTCGGGACATCCGTTAAAATTGGAACGATACAGAGAAGATTAGCATGGCCCCTGCGCAAGGATGACACGCATAAATCGAGAAATGGTCCAAAACAGTCGGTCCCACGGCCCAAAAAACAACAAAGCAAGTAAACTGGTCCCAAAAAAAAAAGAAGAAAAAACATAAGAACGCAGCTACCCTGTTCCCCCGAATACAGCGGAGGGTCATTTTCGCTGCATCTGGACTGCATTGTCATCCAAATACGGCTATGAAGACCGCTACGTTCTATTCGCGGTAGCCGTGGTCGTAATGGGCCGAAGCGCCGCGACCGAGGGGGTATGCGTGGACACGAGGCGAGGTTTTCGGAGAATGCATCCGGATCGAAATGAGACCCGATTCATTGCTCGAGGAACTCCAAGGGTACTGACCGACTGATTACCTAGGGTTGTCAGCCCTTTAGACGCAAGCGCGCTGCTGTACCCAGCAGCGATGGGCTTTGCTACACAACGAATTCTGAATGTATCTGGAAAACGGTTCTGACCTCATACATCCGGAAATGTCGTCTGAATGTGAAGGTATCGGTGACGTGGGCATTTCATCGACATTTCGAAGCTTGTGCAACAGAGCGAATCCCCATGTGGCTGCTCCTGCTTCACTGTCGCTCGCGTTAGTAGAAACAGACGACGGAAAAAAAAAAAAAGGAAAAAAAAAAAAGAGAAAAAACAAAATGGAAAATAAAACAGACCACGGCTCGAACCCATCTCTGCACAAGCATTACTCAACATTCAACGAGTATCTCGACAGGGGAGTGGATGAAATACATCTGGACGGATCGAGCATTTTTCTGAATGTACTGGGTCCATTTACGGGTGGAGATACATTTAGAACGTTTGTGCAGAGGAACGCGCCCGCAGTAGTTGCACGAGTCTCCATCCGCCAAAAAAATTCTGAATGAATGGGAACAGCAATTCTGACTCGATGCATGCAAAATGTTGGCGCCTACTAGCGAGCAGTAATTCTGACTGAATTGGAACATCAATTTTGTCCCGATGCATGGAAAATATTGGCGCTTCGCTCCCCGCCAACGTGCGCCGACGACGAGTATTTTCTTTCTTTTCTTCTTTTTTTTCATTTTATTTTTAAATTTAAATTTAAATTTATTTTTTATTATATTTAGTTATATTTGTTATTTATATATTATAACCCGGGAGCCGCGGGTACGCCGACGGGCTCGCTGCGGAGCTATTCGTTTCGGTTCCAACAAAGCGCAACACGTCTGGTTGTTGTTTTGTTTGTTTTTGCTTTGTTCTTTCTTTTTTTTCTTTTTCTTTTTTGTCTTTTTTTCTGATTGTGCTTTTTTGTTCTTCAATTCATTCAAAACCACAAGCGCCACACTCGGCCACACTCGTCGGCTGGTATAAATAAAGTTTGTTTCTTCAAAAAGAGGAAAGAAAATCACCTCTTCTTCTTCCCCTTCATTTGTTTTTTGTGTTTCGGTTTCTGTCCCCACTCGACGTCGCGCCCTTTTTTCCAGCTGCAGCTCCCTCACCGCACTCAATGCGGGGAAAAAATAGGCGGCAAACAAAAGAACGGAAAGCAGTGGAAAAAGAAAGAAAAACAAAAGCAAAACCAGTTGTGGCGCCACGTAGGACACCCGAGTTTCTGCCGACGTCGGGCTTTGTGGAGAGAGAGAGAGAGAGAGAGAGTCATAAGTGTTGTCCACATTACCCCTTTTTTTTCTAGCGTGCTTGTGGAAGTAAGTAGAAAAGAGGAGGCAGGCAGGCACCCTTAATACTATCAGAGGGGGCAGGGAGGGGGGCCGACAGGGAGCCTACACACACACACACACACACACACACACACACACAAAGGTGTGTTGTGATGTGCGCCGTGTTGTATGTGTTATGTTGTTATTGGAAATCGGTGCTCTTGCTGACAGTTTTCGCAAAGGCAAAGGCAGAGGCAAAGGCAAAGGCAAATGCAATGGAGGTAGAGGGGGCGAAGGGGGCGAAGGGGGCACAGTAATAGACTCGGAACCTACGACGGACCAGGTAGGCGCAAAGGAACTCGTAGCCAATCTTGTCCTCTACCCATTGCTTGTCTCAGATCTTTCTTTGGTTCGTCTAGTTCGTCTTCCTCGTTAGTCGCCATCTCCATGGCCATTCCTTCCATGTGCATCCGCTCCCTTTGCTACCGGTCGGCCTCCTTCCTCCGTTCCAGCGCCGGCGGCCACGTCTGTGCATGTCTCTTGTTTTTGTACTTGTGCCTGTCTGCGTTTGATAGTGTGTCTCTGTGTGTGCACGCGCGCGCACGTGTGTGTGTGTGTGTGTGTGTGTGTGTGTGTGTGTGTGAGAGAGAGAGAGAGAGAGAGAGAGAGAGAGAGAGAGAGAGAGAG